GGTTAAACATTTATTTTAACCTAATTTCTAAATTGAAATACCTACATACATAATATTTTTGTATGTCTACATAATACATAGGAACTTTTTTATGCTGTACTAGACTAGACTATAGACTAAACTATAGACTAGACTATAGACTAGACTATAGACTAGACTAGACTAGACTATAGACTAGACTATGACTAGACTATAGACTAGACTATAGACTAGACTATAGACTAACTATAGACTAGACTATAGACTAGACTATAGACTAGACTATAGACTAGACTATAGACTAGACTATAGACTAGACTATAGACTAGACTATAGACTAGACTATAGACTAGACTATAGACTAGACTATAGACTAGACTATAGACTAGACTATAGACTAGACTATACTATAGACTAGACTATAGACTAGACTATAGACTAGGACTATAGACTAGACTATAGACTAGACTATAGACTAGACTATAGACTAGACTATAGACTAGACTATAGACTAGACTATAGACTAGACTATAGACTAGACTATAGACTAGACTATAGACTAGACTATAGACTAGACTATAGACTAGACTATAGACTACTATAGACTAGACTATAGACTAGACTATAGACTAGACTATAGACTAGACTATAGACTAGACTATAGACTAGACTATAGACTAGACTATAGACTAGACTATAGACTAGACTATAGACTAGACTATAGACTAGACTATAGACTAGACGATAGACTAGACTATAGACTAGACTATAGACTAGACTATAGACTAGACTATAGACTAGACTATAGACTAGACTATAGACTAGACTATAGACTAGACTATAGACTAGACTATAGACTAGACTATAGACTAGACTATAGACTAGACTATAGACTAGACTATAGACTAGACTATAGACTAGACTATAGACTAGACTATAGACTAGACTATAGACTAGACTATAGAAGATAGACTATAGACTAGACTATAGACTAGACTATAGACTAGACTATAGACTAGACTATAGACTAGACTATAGACTAGACTATAGACTAGACTATAGACTAGACTATAGACTAGACTATAGACTAGACTATAGACTAGACTATAGACTAGACTATAGACTAGACTATAGACTAGATTATAGACTAGACTATAGACTAGACTATAGACTAGACTATAGACTAGACTATAGACTAGACTATAGACTAGACTATAGACTAGACTATAGACTAGACTATAGACTAGACTATAGACTAGACTATAGACTAGACTATAGACTAGACTATAGACTAGACTATAGACTAGACTATAGACTAGACTATAGACTAGACTATAGACTAGACTATAGTCTAGACTATAGACTAGACTATAGACTAGACTATAGACTAGACTATAGACTAGACTATAGACTAGACTATAGACTAGACTAGGACTATAGACTAGACTATAGCCTAGACTAATAGACTATAGGACTAGACTAGACTATAGGACGTGACTATAGACTAGACTTAGACTAGACTATAGACTAGACTATAGACTAGACTTAGACTAGATAGACTAGACTAGACTAGACTATAGACTATAGACTAGGACTAGACTAAGACTAGACTAGACTAGACTAGACTATAGACTATACTGACTAGACTAGACTAGACTAGACTAGACTATAGGCTATATCAGTACTATAGACTACAGACTATAGAATATAGGACTATAGACTAGACTATAGACTAGACTATAGACTAGACTATAGACTAGACTATAGACTAGACTATAGGACTAGACTATAGACTAGACTATAGACTAGACTATAGACTAGACTATAGACTAGACTATAGACTAGACTAGATGACTAGACTATAGACTAGACTATAGACTGACTATAGACTTGTCTATAGACTAGACTTTAGACTCGACTATAGAGTAGACTATAGACTAGACTATAGACTAGGACTATAGACTAGACTATAGACTAGACTATAGACTAGACTATAGACTAGACTATAGACTAGACTATAGACTAGACTATAGACTAGACTATAGACTAGACTATAGACTAGACTATAGACTAGACTATAGACTAGACTATAGACTAGACTATAGACTAGACTATAGACTAGACTATAGACTAGACTATAGACTAGACTATAGACTAGACTATAGACTAGACTATAGACTAGACTATAGACTAGACTATAGACTAGACTATAGACTAGACTATAGACTAGACTATAGACTAGACTATAGAGTAGACTATAGACTAGACTATAGACTAGACTATAGACTAGACTATAGACTAGACTATAGACTAGACTATAGACTAGACTATAGACTAGACTATAGACTAGACTATAGACTAGACTATAGACTAGACTATAGACTAGACTATAGACTAGACTATAGACTAGACTATAGACTAGACTATAGACTAGACTATAGACTAAACTATATACTAGACTATAGACAAGACTATAGACTAGACTATAGATTAGACTATAGTCTTGTCTAAAGTAACATTGTAGTCGATACTGTAGACTAAACTATTTCGAGAAACAAAAAAACACTACAATCGATTACGAAAACTAAAATCAACTGAAATTAATGTAATCTGATATTATGCAAATAATGATGAAACCTTTTTTAAGTTGAAATATTTTTAATATAAAACAACTAAATAAATCACTAATTTAAATACTAAACAAAACATCATGTTAATTTACTCCTCTCTGTTTTCCTTTATAGAGTTTAGAATGAAAAACTTTTGTAATTATAAGTTTTGTTACACATTTTATTTCCATTTCAAGTGGTAAATTAAAAAAAAAACAATCGTAAGGCATAAAAAGTCTTTAGCATACAAACTCGAAAATTTGCTTAAATACAGACTGATTTTTCAGACCTTTAATTTTATCTTGTAACACGATGTTTACAATGTCGATAATGTTGGTTTGGCAGAGAATAAATAACGAAAAAATCACTCTTTAAACTTTATCTTATAAGTATGTACAACATGAATTATTGCAAATAATTTTTGTGCGTATTTTTTTACTGCAAATGATTTTCGATGTTTTCACTTATTCTCTTAAATCTTTACATGTATTTCACCTTGATATGAACTTCTTCTCCTATTATCATTCTAATGACCTAAATTTGCCCCCCAAGAAAAGGTATTATTTTTTGCCTCTAAAGTAACATTCGCCATTTTCCGTTGGTTTTGATTTGAAAATTTTCTCCTTTGTTTGCCTTCATTAAATTTGTGGTTGTTTTCATTTACATAGTGATTTTAAAAATGGCAGTCAGTAAGTTTGTCGATGGTAAAGAACATGTTTTACATGTAAAATGATTTATAACGAATTTTTAAAACATGTTTATGGGTTTATCTTAGAGATTGTCTTTTTTTCACCTGGTGGTTTCTTTTCGAAATTTTCTGCATAATTAGACATTATTTTATGTGCTTGTACACGTGTCACAATACATACACAAAAACCCCAAATTGAGTGGCGTATACTGTGAAATGCTTAGAAAGTTAATTGAACATTGTTTAAAAGCCAAAACGAAATTGAGAATTATAGATTTACTAAGAAAAATCAATAGATTTATACTTAATGGAATACTTGAGAGTGTTTTGTTAGCTTGGAGGTGACAAAATTACACCCGAAATGAGAAAACGTGCCGTAATTAGGTGAATAGTTTAATTGTCACAGGTGCTTTGTTAAGAAAGGATGTTGGTTGTAAATGGTTAAATAAATGTTTTTAAACATTTTTCAATAAATGTCCTTGACTTTATGATTGTCCTTAAAAGAGCTAAATTATGTTCCTTTAATATTAGTAGGGGTACTTGAACAATGACCTTAAAATATTCTAAAATAAAGTGTGAAGGCTGAAAGAAATTTTAACGTTTATTTAGAAGAATGTAAACGTATTTACATTTCGCTTCATTTAAAGTTCTGGCGAATATAAAATTAGCAAAAAAATTTTTTATGCAAACCAGTTGTGCCGTAAATATTTAAAGTGGTTTGAGTTTAAAAATTTTGAAAACTTAGCAAACATTTAGCTGAGTATATTTTAAATTAGTGTAAATTCGTGCTTTTTAGGTTATAAGCTTTAAATTTGTACTATTTATAGAAATATGGTCATAATTTTTCTGGTTTGATTTAAACCAGCGGTAGGCAGAGAGTAAAAAGTTTGTTCACTTATAATTTTCTAGTGACGAACAAAATCAGACATAACCTTTGATACGAACTTTTTTCCTAACTTTTCTAGGGAGAGATATGTCAGATATCGAGTTCCTTTGCGAAATAGAACTAGAACAAGTTGAGTTGAAGTCCATAGATCTATTTTAATACTTTATTTAATAAGATCTTTTTAGGTGAGAATCCAAAGTATATATTCGGAAGTCTACTGTTAACAGAATATACACAGTGTCACCCATTTATTGCTCAGAGCGAATTGTTACTATCAAAGATCTGTTACTTTTTGAAGGTTGAACTTCGCAAACAATAATCTAACGGTGACGAATAAACTCGATCCACAGACCTGTTGGGATACTCAGTTTAATTAGATCTTTTTAAGTGAAAATCACAAAGAATATGTTCCCAAGTCCACTATTCCTTACCTTTTTTAAGTCCATTGAACACAATCGGTCCAATCGTTTTCAGCATGACTTTTTTGACTAAAAGATTGAATCAATCAATTTAGCTTTGGCGGATTGCAAACAAAAACTGGTGAATCAAAAAGAGACTTTAAGCTCCCAATGTTTGTCAAACAATCAATACGTTCATTCCCAGTCTGATTTTAATAACAGCACAGTTTTAATTCACTATCATCAGCTTAATTAAGAGATTTCCCTAATAGTAGTTGCGGACAACACCAGACCTTAGTTCACATTAATAAGTCCCTGATCTACGAATGACTGTTTGTTCATAAATCAAAAATATTTACCAAGAACAGATACTAATCTTTTAAATTTCCTCGTTAAAGATTAGATAGTTTTATATGGAATACCCTTTACATGTTTCAAATCCAACAATTGTTATATAAAAAAATTTCTTTAAAAATTTTCATTCATATTATTCTGTCTTAAAATTTCAATTAAATAAAAAACATCCTCTTTAGGTCCACAAAATTCTAAATTCTGCAATATGAGTTGTTTTGGGTAATAATTCTAATAATAAAAAAAGAATTTCCTTTAAAAGTTTAAAATTATTACAGTTTATGTGGCAAAGAACAAAAACCTAAATATGATGAATTTCGGGTAGTTTACAACAAGGCCGCCGAAACCGTGGTTATAGAAACACAAACCTCCGATCGTAAGATTTATTAAATTTTATTAAAAGTTCTACAATAAATTATTTCAATTCTATAACAGATGAAGTTCCTCAACAGCAACAGCAACCACACAACACAGTAGCTTTAATAGATTGTGGCAGTTCTGTTATAAGGGCGGGGTTTGCAGGTGATGAATCACCTTTAATAACAATACCCACTGTAGTGGGTAAATCTACGGTAGATGATGTCACCAAAAAAGTATTTGGTGCCACAGCTCTAACTAGTTCTAATTCCTATAAACTTTCATATCCTGTAGAAAGAGGTTTTATCAAGGATTGGCATGATGCTGAAGAATTACTGGAACATGTAATCGAAAAAGATTTACATATACAACCTAAAATGCAGCAGTTGATGTTAACCGAAGCTCCTAATAATCCTCCAGCCAATCAGGAAAAAACTGCAGAAATGATGTTTGAAAAATTTCAGTTCAGCTCATTTCTCTTAGTGCCCTCAACACCCATGGGCATGTATGGCTATGGCTCTACCACCGGCGTTATAGTAGAATCGGGTGCGGGGCAGACACATATTGTAGCGGTCAAAGATGGTGATTACATAAAGGACTCTTATCGTCATATACCTGTGGGTGGTAATGATTTAACCAAGTACATGGGACAACTTTTAACGCAAAGTGGTAATGCGCGATATTTTCATGGCAAACGAAATGAACATGAAATTTTAAATGAAATCAAGCGTATTGGCTGTCACATTGTTTTGAACTACGATGAGGAGGTAAAAAATTCTCAAATGAATCCCGATTTTATAACTGATCATGCTATATTGCGTGATGGCACTATGATTGCCATGAAAACGGAATCCTATCAGGTGCCAGAGTTATTATTTAAGCCTGAATTAATAGGTATCCATACAGGGGGAATACCACAAAACATTTACGATTGCATTGAATCTTGTGAACCTGCTTTGAGAGCACAACTGTATGGCAATATATGTTTATGTGGTGGCAACACTATGTTTCCCGGTATTCGTGATCGTTTACTGTGGGAAGTGAGAACATTTGCTGGACACAATGTTAATGTTAAGATAAATGCTTTACCTCAGCGGGAGAATTTAGTTTTCTTGGGAGCCTCGCTGCTGGGTGTTTGTCCAAAGTTGAGAGATAATTTAATATCATATCAAGAGTACCGGGAAGTTGGCTCACAAATAGTTCATTGGAAATTCTTTTGATGATTACAAGCAGAAATTCCATATCAGGAGCAGCGATAGAAGTGAAATTATGACCAAAACAACTCATAAAGCAGAATGTATACAAAAAATTCTTGGTATTAATAATAAAAATTTTTAATAAAGTTTTTTCTTTAATTTTTATTTGCGTTATAAATAATATATTCAAGGAGAAGAAAATACATCCTTCTAAAAACTTAACTTTAAGATAAACTAGAAATATTTAATACTTCTAGTTTTAAATCTCAATGAAATTTCTAGGGGTTTCTCTTTGCATTTATATATTTTCTAGACGTCTTTCAAGTAGTGGTCCATTGTTATTCCTATTGGGGTTCTTAGACTGATCTTCCACTTCAGACTATAGAAAGTCCGCGATCGTGGCTCTGTAGATCTCTTTGTAATTTCGGATTCCTTATATATATAGCGGAGTCGAATAAGCAATGTCTTTCTGCCCGTCCGTCTATCTGTCTGTTGAAATCAGTTTTCTGAAGACCCAAAATATCTTGGGGATCCAAATTTTAAATAATTCTGTCAGACATGCTTTCGAGAAATCAGCAAAATCCGTCCATAAATAATCCATAAATAAATCCGAGACAACATCTAAAAATTTCATCAAAAAAAGACAATTTTTGCTTTGATAAAAAAAAGTTTTGCTAGATTAATGGTAGAGTCGGGAAAATGAAATAAATTGAAATATTATAAAATTAATATTTTTTAAACACACTACGGTGAAGGGTATATAATATTCGGCAATGGCGAATATAGACTTCTTACTTGTTTTTTCTTAAATTATTTGGTATGAATTTCTATAGGACACACATATTTCTATAGCAATTCTCTATGTTCTCTATATAGAATACACTTATTCGTTTTTCACTTTAACTTTATTTATTGTTATTTTTAATATTTCACCATAAATTTTGTAAATGATCCCCGATTAAATCACAGATTTAAAAACACTTTCTATTAACAATGGCTGGACCAGTTTCAAAATATTCGGAATATGTAATCATCATATCCTTAAACTTGGCCAACGAACTCAATAGAGAAGCACCCAAAAATACTGCATTCTTACGATCAGACTTCGCATGAATATTTATGGTAGCATCAGGTTCCGACATCAAACGCATTTCATTGGCCAGACGATGTTGAAGCCCGGGAAATAAAGTATTGCCACCACTTAAAACTATATGGCCATAAAGTAAATGCCTTATCGAAGAATCGGATAAATGGATAGATCTAAAAATATTCTCATGAATACCACCAGTTTTGACATCCAACATAGTGGGTTCAAATAAAGCCTCGGTGCAACGAAAAAGTTCGCTACTTAAATTAACGTAATTGCCATCGGGCAAACGATATGTTTTTGGTTTAAGCGCAGGCTTAGCAAATTCTTCGCGATAATCAAAGGCTACATAACACAATTGCTCCTTGATGTCTCTAAGAAATTCTCTATCTGTTGATTTTTGCAAAAAATTTAATGTATCACTATTCTGAGCTAGAATATTCTCCAACATTTTATTGATATCTTTACCACCCAGGGGTATATAACGGGTGCTATGAGGCATTGCAAATCCCTCATACACCGGTACTATATGAGTTTGACCCTCTCCCGAGTCCAGTGCAACGCCTGTATAAAAACCATAGGCATATAAAGCCAATGGTGGAGCTGGTGTTAGAAAAAATGATTTAAGGCGAAATTTTTCCAACATTAATTCCAATAATTTTTCACGATTTTTCTTTGGATTATTAAGAGTTTCTGTTAGTAATATACGATAACCGGCAGGATCTAGTTGTAAACTTTCGTGGAAAAGGTAATCAAAATATACTTCTATATCATTCCAATTTGTTATTATGCCTCTTTCAATGGGAGTATTGAGATTAAGTACTGCATGCCTTTGTTGTGCCTCAAAGCCCACAAAAGAATCTTGGACCGAACGTTGCCCTACAGCAGCCCCCTGCTTAGGTCTACCCACTATGGTAGATATTAAGTGGCGAGGTTTATTGTCACCAGAAAAGCCAACTTTACATGCATTTGAACCACAATCTATTATAATGACATCACTTAGGGGTAGGGAAAAGTCAGCTTTAAAGGAGAATATAAGGGAAAATAATCTAATTTTTAAAAGTTTAAAGTTCTGTCTCACTTTCTAATGTTTGGGTTTCAATTATTGAAGTTTCAATCTTTTTTTCTTCATGCCGAGGCCAGCAACTAAAAGCCATTCCTCAAGATTTTGAACTAAACTTTTTAATTTTGAATTGGAAATTTTGTTCTCATTTATATAATCGTAAATATAGGGACTTGTGTTTATTTGATTTTCTGCATTTAGGATTTTGCTTGGACCATAACGGTGATTTTGGATTTCCTTTAAAAACTTAAAACAAATAATTTTTTTAAAAAAATTTATGTAAATTTAAAATTTTTTTATTTTTTTAATTTTGTTATGTTGATGATTTACCGAATTTACTGTGGTACGGTATACAAAAAATTTTGGCAAATAAATGTATTATTATGTGTTAATGTTATTATACATATGTGTGGTAAATTCCATTAAAATCGGAGATGGTAAATATGAACGTTTTCTGTCCGCTTTGGTATACATAGTTTCTTTCTGCATGCGTATGAGTAATATTTTTAAAGTACAAAAATAATAATGCTTATTATATTCCAACATATAATTTCTTTTATTAGAAAAACCTTTATTTTCACTTTCATTTAATCATTCATTTTGTCTCATCTTTTAAATAATAAAAACATGACTCAATCCTGTGGTTGGCTGTACAATCCTAACTTTACGCCGAAATAGTATTCTGTCAATTATCCAAAATATAAGGCATAAAATTGCAATTATTGCAGTCGTCATGACGACACTTAAAAGTAGACACTTATTAAATTTATCGCCTTTTTTATAATGGAGACATTTTCGAATACTAAATGCTTGTACTTCCGCAAGAGTATAACAAATTAAAATTATGATTAAAATAAAATGTTTCATTTTCAAAGATTCCTTCCTGAACGACTTCTTTGTACAAGGAGATTTTTTAATCAAATGAATTTTTAAATAACAGATTTTATTTTCTTATTGTTATTTGAGCGTTTGGAACTTAAAAAGTAAAACAACTCATTTTGCGGTTAAGAAAATAACATTTAAATAGCTTATTAGGAGTATTCACAGATTGTAATCATTATTAGCAGCAATCATTTAAATTATTGATTTATCATAATTATGTAGAGACAACAATTTTTTTTTTTTGAATTTAACAATATTTTGGCCACTAAAATTGTTAAAATTTCAGTAAAAATTAAAAATTAATTGTTATTTACGACCATGTCTTTTTCTCTTAAAAAATTATGTATTTTCTTCTTTTACTGTCATAGTTCTTAAGATTTTTTTTATCAAGTTTAAAAATAATTTCTTTTCTTGACGTCATTGCATTTTAATCGTTCATCTGTGTTTATTTAAATAAATCTGTAATATATTATATACCGGAATATATTTGTATTGACATTACATTAATACTGCTTACAAAAGTAATTCATTTACATGACAACATTCAAGGAACAAACAAACTGACAAATAGTTAAACAAATAGTCAACGGAAATCACTGCATAAGATTATAAGAAAGGATGTTTTTTAACGTTTTACATTTTATTTCTATAAAAGAATTGCGCATTTTTTTATTTTGTGGCCTTGTAGTACATTAAAAGATACGAATGAATATAGACATTAATACAGAATGGTTGTACGTATTTTATATGCATTTCTAAACGAAAATCTTTAAATAACATTTCCAGTCTTGTCTTGATTATAGACTAGACTATAGACTAGACTATAGACTAGACTATAGACTAGACTATAGACTAGACTATAGATTAGACTATAGATTAGACTATAGACTAGACTATAGACTAGACTATAGACTAGACTATAGACTAGACTATAGACTAGACTATAGACTAGACTATAGACTAGACTATAGACTAGACTATAGACTAGACTATAGACTATAGACTAGACTATAGACTAGACTATAGACTAGACTATAGACTAGACTATAGACTAGACTATAGACTAGACTATAGACTAGACTATAGACTAGACTATAGACTAGACTATAGACTAGACTATAGACTAGACTAGACTAGACTATAGACTAGACTATAGACTAGACTATAGACTAGACTATAGACTAGACTATAGACTAGACTATAGACTAGACTATAGACTAGACTAGACTAGACTATAGACTAGACTATAGACTAGACTATAGACTAGACTATAGACTAGACTATAGACTAGACTATAGACTAGACTATAGACTAGACTATAGACTAGACTATAGACTAGACTATAGACTAGACTATAGACTAGACTATAGACTAGACTATAGACTAGACTATAGACTAGACTATAGACTAGACTATAGACTAGACTATAGACTAGACTATAGACTAGACTATAGACTAGACTATAGACTAGACTATAGACTAGACTATAGACTAGACTATAGACTAGACTATAGACTAGACTATAGACTAGACTATAGACTAGACTATAGACTAGACTATAGACTAGACTATAGACTAGACTATAGACTAGACTATAGACTAGACTATAGACTAGACTATAGACTAGACTATAGACTAGACTATAGACTAGACTATAGACTAGACTATAGACTAGACTATAGACTAGACTATAGACTAGACTATAGACTAGACTATAGACTAGACTATAGACTAGACTATAGACTAGACTATAGACTAGACTAGACTAGACTATAGACTAGACTATAGACTAGACTATAGACTAGACTATAGACTAGACTATAGACTAGACTATAGACTAGACTATAGACTAGACTATAGACTAGACTATAGACTAGACTATAGACTAGACTATAGACTAGACTATAGACTATAGACTAGACTATAGACTAGACTATAGACTAGAAGACTAGACTATAGACTAGACTATAGACTAGACTAGACTAGACTAGACTAGACTATAGACTAGACTATAGACTAGACTATAGACTAGACTATATACTGTACTATGGACTAGACTATATACTGGGCTATATACAATAGACTAGACTATAGACTAGGCTAAACTATAGACTGGACTAAACTATAGACTAGACTATAGGGAAGACTAGACTATAGACTCTATTTAGCATTGTTCTTCTTTTTATATTCTAACTTTAGTAAACTTTAAACTTTATGTATATGTCATATTTTAATGATGTTAAATATTTTTCGGGAATATTTCACGAATTTGTTTTGTTATTTTACTAATACCCATTAATTAGCTTTGACCTCAAAATCATTAGTATTTGTTAAGTTGAAATATATTCAATTTGAATTCAATATCTTCAGTTTCTTAATAACTTGCCACTGGGTATTTGGTGTTGAATGTATTTGCTTAAAGGTAAATATTTATTAAATGTGACTAAATGAATTCTTACAATTTGTAAGCCGTAGATTTTTTTGCTTAAGGCTTTAAGAAAAGTATTAAGGATTTCAAATGCGCAAATGAATTGGTGGAATATATATATAAAAAAACAAAATGTAAATGTATGTTTTTAAAAGCTGAAAATAGTATTAATTTGATTATGGTGGCATTTAGAGATTTTCTTTTTAATGAAATTTAAGAATCAAATGGTAAAAAAATTAAGAAATTGACTGCAAAATGTTGTAATATTTATAATATTTCTTTATAGTATAAATACTTCATCTTATGTGAAATCCATCCCAGATTTCAATTTCTCTTAAAATACCAGCCTCCTCTAATTTCATTTGCTATAAAATACAGTGTTTTTGAAAATATATTGTTAATAAATTAGAAAACAAAATCTTGTTTATCTCACCGACATGATGCTGAACTTAAGAAGGGTCAAAAGTTCATTCAATGTAATTTGAATGTCAAAATATTTCATTTATTTTTTGTGTGTTTTTTGTGTATTTTTTGTTTTGTTTTCTGTTTATTTCAAATACTTAATTCAATTCAGATCATGGACATGGGATAATGTCAATAATCATTAATATTTAATATGAGTAACATTTACTGAATTTATTGAATGTTAAATTGCATATTTCTACAAACCTTCTCTGTTTTCTTGTGTTTGTTGTTGTTGTTATTTCTTTGTGTAAGTGATATTCCTACTAAAAGGATTCAATTCGTACTATATTGGCTTATTTTTCTTTTCACTTTTTGTTTGCTTATTTGTGTGTATGTTTTTGTCTTTGTTTTCTCCTTTCTTTGTAGTAAACAAGTTACTTGACCTTTTTTTCTTTACAAAAAAATAATATTGTTAAGGATATTTCTGAAAAAAATAGGTGTTCAGTGTTGCCTTTAAGAAGAAAAATATGGAAAGTTTTTTATACAAAATTGTTTAAACCTTTTCCAGTTTGCCCTTATATTACAACAATATATTTTTCTTTATGGCAATACATACTTTTTATATGTAATATTTATGCTCCAACTTACAAAGAAAAAATTTCATTTGTTATAGAGATATTTTTCCTTTCTAGTAACTTCTCAATTAGCTTGTTAAAAAGCATACAAACTTGTTCATGTGATAAAAGAAAATTGTTTCTAAGTACTCATGTTTATATATAATTTATTTTACCATATTAAAGGGTGATTTTTCTCCAGACTTTTTAAAAGTAATTCATTAATGTAATGAAATTATTCATTATTTCAATGAATAGAATTCATTAATTCAGTAAAACATTTTCATATCAACTACAAAGTTAATTCATTATTGGTATGAATTGTCTATGTTTATCATATAACTTGGTATCCTTAGTGGAATGAAATGTTTTCTTGTATTTGATGATTATTATGTAATCATATTATGACTTTTTTCATTAAATCGATGAAAATCTATCATTATATTCATAACATTGTAAATTTATCATCATATTGATAAACACATTTTTTGATACCCTACACCAGTGTTGTTGACAAAAAAAGTGACGTTCCCACGACAATAGGATCTTCGCTCCGAAACGACCCGAGTCTTACTCGGCCAAAGATTGTCAACCCAATGACAGCTGTATCAACCGAAAGTTTTTTCCCCAGGAAAGAACTATCGGCCACAGTCGAACTGTTACAACAACAACTAAAAAAGTGTTTTTCTGAGGGCAAGAGTAAATTTGGATCTATTTCTTTAAATTTTGGTAAAGGGATTTAAGTTTACATAAAGTTATATCACAGAATTTCATGTTGATAATATAGTATTTATAAGTAATTTTCTGAAGGGTCCTTTGTATGTTGGATAAAATTATCAAATTTGGCTCGATCATTACGAAAATCGGCAGTGTCATTAAGATATATATAAAAGTAAGTTTTACCGATTGGTGTAGAGATACGATTGTATGGGGGCTAAATGAAATAATAGATCGATTTCCGCCTTTTTCAATATACTTCGTCCTTGGGTCAAAAGAAGAGTACGTGCCAAATTTAATCAAAATCAAAAATACACAGACAGACAGATAGACAGACAGACAGACATAGTTTAATTGACTCAAAATACATTAAGAAAATTGTAGGACCAATATTTTTAGTTGTCTCCACTATAGTGGTATAGGGTAAATCAAATTATCAAATTTTATCTCAGGTTAGGAAAGAGTTAAAGGAGGATGTTTTTTACATCAGATATGAAAAATACACCTTGACCTCAATCGTATATCGATCTTTGAGTCTCGCGCATATTACCAATATGGCGGTTCACCTAGCTAGTCACTATTCCTTTCACAATAATGATCCACATTTGCCACCTAACTCCCAATATAAGACCTCTTTCTGTAAATTAAATCTGTTGATAAATCAAATGTCCAAGTAATTTGACTTTTTGTAGACCTTTAAAAAACGCCCTTTACTATATACATACATACGTATGTATTTAAGAGGATCCTAAAATATGTCCAAGTGATGATTTGTTATTTTCAAACATGATTTTTTCCATTAATAGTTTTGGTAATTGTGTGTAAATTATGATGATGAACAAGAATT